GGAAGAGTGGCCGCTCTGCGCCGTGTTTATGTCCGTGTTTGTCGGTTTTCTGCTGCAAAAAGTGAGCTCGGGGGTGTGTGTTTTTTCTAAAAAGGCTTCTGAGCGTCTGCGCTTTTCCGAGGGGCTGTGAGGTTTGGAGTTAACTGGCAGCCAGGTGGGAAGTGTGATGGTTTACGTGTGTGGACAGGAGAGCTGGGGAGGGGCTTTTGGCAAGAGCGTGTAGTGACAGGAGAAGGGGCAATGGCTTTAAACTGAAAGAGGGGAGATTTAGATTGGATTGAAGGAAGAAATTTTTCACTCAGAGGGTGGTGAGGCACTGGCACAGGTTGCCCAGAGAAGTTGTGGCTGGGGCCCCCCCCTGAGGGAAAAAAGTTGGATGGGGCTTTGGGCCACCCGGGGTGGTGGAGGGTTTCCCTGCCCATGGCAGAGGGGGTTGGAACTAGATGATCTTTGAGGTCCCTTCCAACCCAGTCTATGATTCTGTACTGTACAGGGGGGTAAACAAACAAGCTTTTTGTTCTTACAGTGTGTGGCCTTCACAGTGCGACAGCTGGAGTTGCATCTGCGGTGAAGCTTATTGGCTTTCAGTAGCGTTTTAATATAGTTGGGAGGGCGATCTTACAACATCTTGCATGTATAGGTTTGGCTTTGAAATACTCTGAATAGGAGACCTCTAGGTTTGGCTTTGAAATGCTCAAAATACGAGGCCATGTACAGCAGTTAACAGTGTTTCTTCTTCATTAGTTGGTGCTACAGTTGTGAAGTATCACTCTTCCTACATTTTAATCCTGTTGTGTGTTCCTTGTTCATAACGTTAATACTGAGAGCTTTCTGAAGGCTTTGCTTTCCTTGCAGTGGTCCTGTGCAGAATTTCAGTAGTTTGTGGAAATGATCTGAACTGAAATGTCTTGCCTCTGAGTTGAGTCAAAATGGAAATGTTTCCTTTAATTGCTTAACCTCTTTCGTGTTGTAAACTGCACCACAGAGAGCAAAGGCATTGAAGCCGTGGCTGTCAAAGCCCTCTGAAAATAAATTGATGAATTAATTGGCTGTTGTTGTGTAAAACAAGGGTTAGATCGAAGTATTAGTTGTGGTTGTGATTCCTGAACTCAAGACAGGTAAAGACTGGAGGGAAAACCAATCCCAGAAGAGTGAGTGTGTCATAGTTTTTGTTTCGATTCAGCCCCATAGCATGTGCAAGGCAGTCAAATTGTTAGACTGCCACTTAAGAGAATCAGTTCCCTGCAGGAAGGCAGTGAGTCACAGATGACGCTGGTAGTTGTTAACAAGAAATGAGTTCGGTTATGGTGACTCCAGTGGCTTCTGTCTCTGGTCATCCCTTCCAGGTGTAATTCACCCTGAAACAATTCGCTGGCGATGTCACGTGGGAGAATCCAGAATTCTTCAGTGTTACACATGACCCGTTCCTGGTGGTTTTGTTGCTGTTACTGTGCTCATCTCTGTCATGCACAGGGCTGTTTGAGAATGCAGTTTGGGGCTCAGTCACATTAAGGATTCTGCCATTCCCATGTCTCAGGAAAAGCCATAATCCTTTGAAAAGCTGAAGCTCTTGTGAGCTGGGAGAAAGGCTGGCTCAGCTGCAGAGCTGCCAGGTAGTGGAATGGAGCCCAGGACTTTTTGAAAATAGTAACCCCAAGGTGAAGCTTGTCCAGCACCAGAAATTCTGATTCCAATGCAGTGGGGTGGCAAAACCAGTGAACCTGGAACTGGTGAAAATGAGTGTCTGTGTGCGTCTTGGTGAGTAGCACTCAGCTCCTCCAGAGGTGTTTCCTGAAAAACAACAGATGTCCTTACAGCTTGAGGTGTCGTTCACTGACATGCTAGAAGAGAAGAACAGGTAGGCATGGCACAAGGCTGATGAGTAGGTGTTGTCTTTGACTCCTCAGAGGAGAGAACAGTAGGTTTTGCTTTCGCATTAAATCAGAACATGTGCTTTCTCTTTTCCTTTCTCAGATGAAGTCCCCGTTAACAATTATGGCTTTTGTTTTTTGCCTTGGAATGTGAGAACCGAAAGGCACTTAGAAATTTTAAAAACAACCATTTTATCTAACAGTAGCGTTTGGGAGAAGCACAGGATGCTACCCAAAGATAAAAGGGAGTTTCTTCTGTATGTGGACTGTAAGAGGGAACTTTGAGATTGTAGAGGGGGAAGGACCATCATGCATTTGTGAAGTGCGTGGATCAGTACATTAGTGCTGGTGATCCTGTGGAAATTACTGACTTTGAGTTAGTTGTCAGGAGATGTTTGTAGTTGTCTAGTTTAAGGAATTGTGCTGATCTGTTTTTAACCTTTCACACTCCAAGGCTAGCTAAAGGTACAGGTATCAGAAGTGTTTTGCGATCGGAGTTGTTTCCAGGTTTTAATACACTGGAAAACACAGCCTGAACACAAAGTCAGTGTATTGCCATTTTATAGAGAAGCTGTGAGCATGTGTTTGAAGTAAATTAGGGTTGAGATTGAGGTTAGCTAGGGCCTTGATTTGAGCTGTTCTCCTGCATGCCCGCTCATAAGGGGTAGTTGTGTCAGGTGTTTAGTGAAAGTATACGTGTTACTGTCAGCAGCTTCCCAAAACTATCACCTTTTCTCCCATCATGGAGGAGTACTGAGAGCTTTTCCTGCTTTCAGCTGTGCTCTTTGTTATGTTATCTGGGTCATCCAAAACTGTGGCACTATAACCTGACACATCTCAGGCTTGCTCCTAATAAACAGGTAGGTATACACAAACAGTTTACAGTTTTTGTTTTATGAATTGGCAAAATCTTTGATTTCCTGTGCGACATTATTTCCCATGCTGTGCTTTGGGAATAAGGCTACAAGTCTGCACCTTAGACTAAGTTTAGGGGAACTGTTTACCTGCAGATTGATGTTAATTTAGAAAGGGATAATTGACTTAGAATTTTAAGGTCACTACTAAGTTTTTCTATATCTCTAGTGTGTAATACCTATTGAAAATAGATATTTCTGTATTTGTACAGAACATATGGTTGTTTCAGAATACAATTAAGGGATGCATTCCAGACTTTCTTTGTTCTAAAAGTACTTTTTTGCGAACAAGATTGAACAGGTTGCCCAGAGAAGCTGTGGCTGCCCCATCCCTGGAAGTGTTCAAGGCCAGGTTGGATGAGGCTTTGGGCAACCTGGTGTAGTGGAGGGTGTCCCTGCCCATGGCAGGGGGGTTTGGAACTGGATGATCTTTGAGGTCCCTTCCAACCCAAACCCTTCTGTGATTCTATAAGATTCTGTTTATTAAAATATTTCTGTAAAACTTAAGGTGAATCTCAACATAACTTTTTGTAATTTGGTAAAATCTAGTGACTCTTTAGAGTTCAAGGTCTTGTTATTCTCCTTGTTTTATAAGTTAATGAAACCCTCTGTCCTGGGACATTTGTAGCTTTTTATGTAGAAATGTTCAAGAAGTGGCCAAGAAAACAGATGCTGATAGATAGTCTTCAAAGGGCAACTAAGGAACAAGGATCTATTTGGCGCAGTTGTTTTTACCTTTAATATTATGAAAATTAATATGTTAAGGGAAACTTTTGGAGTTCTGATGCTGAGAAACACTGGTTTTGATGATCATGGGTTTTGGGATGCAAAGAGGAGAGATTCACTTGGTAGTGACACTTGATTTTTTTTTTTTTGTTTTCCCTAGGAAAAAAATAAAAAAAGTAATGAGAAGCCCCAGGTACAAGAGTCTGATGATGTCTTCCTCCCTTCCGTCGCAGAAGTATCTTCTCAAGCCACTAGAGTGGAAGTGGAACATCCTGGAGAATTTACAGAAATTCAGCTCAGTGATGAAGTAGAGGATGTGAAAGCTGTAAATGATGTGTGCGACATCCCCCAGAGTAATTTACCTTCAGCAAACAGAGGGTCTTCCATAGTAGCCTTAGAGCCTCCCACAGGTGCAGAAGAGTTCAAAGCTGATCCTTCCCATGAGGAACGTGGCGGAGATGTTGAGAAGAGTGGAGAAAACAAGTTGGACAAACGTGACAGCCCTGTGGAGGCAGTTGCTAGTGAGTCAGGGAACCCTGATTTATCGAGTAGTACCTTTCATTCCAGTGCTACTGTCTCTCAGACAGTAGTGGGCTTTGTGCGGGACAAAGGAACTGAAAATGTACAAGATGTTAAAAATCCTCTTATCCATTCCTCAGAGAAGCTTCCTCTTAGGGTCTCGCAGCTCACTGAGAAATCCAAAACATGCATTCAGCGACCGGGATTGAAACCAGTTTATCCAGACTTATCGACTGAGCTGTCCTATGAGAGACCAACCATAATGGCAGTTAAGCCACTGTTGCACAGTGAAAGGCTGTATCCAGAGCTCCCAGCTGAACCAGAACTGGTGCCGTTTACCAGAGAACAGCTGAAAATCTTTGAGCCGTGCTCGTGGTTGGAGAATGTCGAGTCCTATGTGGAGGAATTCGAAACTGTGGCTCATCAGGACAGGCATGAATTTTACGAACTGCTCCTGAACTATATGCGCTGCAGGAAGCAGATGTTGCTGGCTGAGACGGAGCTGCAGGCCATGACGACAGACTGCCAAAATGTTAAGGGGAGATTATGGACTTTTAAAGAAGAACAGAAAACTGTGCAGGTGCTGTTGCTGGAGCTGCTTTTGAATCCAAAGTGTTTGGATGTGATTCCAGACATTAATTTTACTTTCTGTCAAATTTATCATATTTAAGCTGTTTTATTTTAAGAGATGGTTGCTTTTGCTTTCTGCCTCTCCACTGACTCACGGTACTTCAGAGCATCATCCTGTTGAGATTTAAGACAGCTCGTTGCTTGACTTTTAAACTCTGATGAGTGTAGGGTAGTGGGATCTCTGTTAGTGATCTCTTTTGGAGTCAGACTCATGCCTGTAGTCAGTCAGAGTGAGCCTGTGTACACCCAGTTCTGCCCGTAGTCTTGGGAGGGGTTAGTATTGCAGTCCTTCAGGTTGGTGCAGGGGATATCTGGTGTAGTAGGACTCCAGAGTGACTGTAGCAGTGATGTCCCATCTGGCCTGCTGCCTGTAGTGACACTTTTCATTGCTGTCATTCCTGACTGTCCTGCTGTCAGAGATGCCAGCTGCAGAGGAGCTTGACTCTTCAGTGGAACAGGTTGCCCAGAGAAGCTGTGGCTGCCCCATCCCTGGAAGTGTTCAAGGCCAATGTGCATGAGGCTTTGGGCAACCTGGTGTGGTGGAGGGTGTCCCTGCCCATGGCAGGGGGTTGGAACTAGATGATCTTTGAGGTCCCTTCCAACTCAAACCATTCTATGATTCTATGGCTCGTGCTCGTGGGCGACTACGTTGGTCAAAGCATAGGGAATGCAAGGTCCATCCAGCTTCAGCAACTGTTGCTCTCTGAGTGGTCCCCTGGTTTTAGCTATTCCAGGGTGCTCATGGTACTCGGCAGCGTTCCTGCCTGAAAACCAGAGGGGTCTGGGAAGCTCTTTGGTGCATGCATCAGAAAAATTTTCCCCCAGACTCATTCTGTGTAACTTGTTTTTGGAGCTGGACGTTACAGTGGGAGTGAATGGAATTCTGGTGCTCTGTTGCTGTTTATAGCCAACACATCATCAGCAATGTCCAAGGGTGCTGAGTACCTTTGTGTGTGGTGGCTTGTACTGTCGTTTCTGTGAGTGTAGTGCCTCTCCTGTGCAACTGAGAAACAGATTTGGATCTGTCCCTTTTTCCTAGGGAGTAAGACTGAACCTCACTGGATTCTCAGTTGATTGCTTTCTTCACTGAAAGCGATTTTGGCTTCACTTTTACATCCCCACTGGGCATCGTACAGTTGGCTAAGCTTGCTGCTTGCTTTATTCCATCCTGATTCACTAGGTATTTATTGTGTATCCAGAATAATTGTTATCTTTATACCAGTTTAAAATTCTTATTCTTCTCGCTTAGGAAACACAGGGATACTTTCAAGCTAAGCTTTCAAAGTGCTGGCTCTGAAGCGTGTTTCCTGGTTGCATAAAAGAATAACAGGAATGTTACGCATTGTGATTTTTCTTGTTCTGAAGAAATAGGGATAGGACAGAGGAAGACTGGCTGCAGCTTTTAATTCCAGTTTGGGAAAGAGAGTACAGTTAGTTTCTGAAAGTTTTAATAACTTTACATTTTAGTTTAAATGTATGATGGGGAGTTGCTGTGAATATTCAGTTCTGGGAGCTTAGAAAAACATTTGTCTTTTTTCAGTACATGTTGTAGCTTTAAAATAGCAGATCCAATATTTGTGTAAACCTATGATCTGAGAAGCAGTTGTGCTTCCTGGAAGTAGAGATACCTGGTTTTTGTTCACATCTGTCAGTGGTACAAGCAAGTCACTTCATGTCTGTTTCTAAATCTGAGTTATTCAGTGTTTATAGAGTAATTTTTTCAGATGTCAGAGATACTTTTTAGAGCTGCCGATTACTGAAGATTTGTCTGTAGGACATTCTGACATGTTTGTCTTTTCCACCTGTGAAGTGGCCCCTTTATGAAAGCTTTGAAGTCTGTTGAGGAGAGGGACAAAGCCGCTTAAATAAAATAACCGCTCTCTTTTCAGGGTGTCTGTGCAGACCTGTGCAAAGTGATAGGTCACCATCGCTACCAGACTGTGGAGCTGAATGAGGGCGTGCTGGGGGAACTGAAAAAGCTGTTTGAAGCCAAAGCAGAGCATGTGCACCAGACACTGGCGCTGCACTCGTACACCTCGGTGTTGTCCCGGTTGCAAGTGGAGTCCTATGTCTACAGATTGCTCAGCAGCTCGTCCCTGCTGAGATCAGTGGCTCTTCAGCAGCAAGAACAAGGTGAGTTGCTGGTCTGGACTGCTGTCCATGCTGTTCAGGGTGCCAAGTGCCTTGTTCTCCTGCAGTTTTGGAGTCTCCTGGTGAGATTTGTAGACGGGAGTGTTTCTCCTCTGATGCTAAAACCTGCTGATCTTATGTAGGGATCAGTGAAACTCTTCTCTCAAGAAAAACTCCAGTTCTCTTGCCTTATTCACCTGGAAAGTGGAAGCTGAATGCAGGAGTGCCTTTTTCTGTCTAGGCTGTATAATACCACTGGTTACTGTAGAGAGACTCTGAGTAGGATGGGGCACCTGATCTCCAATCCCTAGTCAAAGGAAGTGAAGAGTACAGTCCATTTTCTGAGTTGATTATGCACAATTCTGAAACTAGCTGGATGTTTTTCCTGCTTTACTTCCTCTTGGAAGGCCATTTGAAATCTCATAGCTCTAATACTTATACATCTAGGACGAAAGCAAAAAGGATTTCTTACTTATTTGGGTTTGTGCCAATGTAATCTTTTAGCTGAAGTATTCCTCCCCCTCCCACCCTGGATATTTATCCTTTCTGGTCCTCCTCCCTTTGCTCCTTCCACCTCCTGGATAGTTTATATGTATATGAAATTGTGGTTCTTACAAAGTTTATGTTGAGGGAAGGCCTTTTATGAGAACAACCATAGTATGTTCTTGTAATTAACATCCAGTGCTTAATGATAAGATTAAATAAAGTACTTTTAAGCAAGTGTTCTTCTCTGTCAGATGTAGCAAGCAGCTGTATTGAAATGTCTTGGTATCTATAGATACAGAGAGCAAGTTTTCTGTGTAGCCCCAAAACCACTACTTATGCTGCTGCCGAGAGCTGCTTGTTGAAGCTTCTTAATTCTGTTTTTAATTTACAGTTTCGAAGCAGTCAGAAAGTCTTTCTTCAGACTTGAGCCACTTGAAGGAGTGTATCAGCGTCCTTTTCAGTTTCACTCGCAGAGTTATCGAAGATCCTCAGTTTCAGAGCGACCTTCTCATGTGGCTGCAGAGATTGGTGAGGGAGTAAGCGTGGATATAGCTGTTCTATCCAACACATGGGATGAAATCAGGAGTAATTTCTGAACGTGTTTCTCTCACCATCCCACTCTCAGTGATTTTTTTTTGGGGGGAAGGGACGGGGTTTGTTCTACTTGAGGAACAGAATCTGTTAGTGAATCTTTAGAATGAATTCCCTTGTCTAATGAAGTCAATAGAGGTCAGCAGCATTAATGAGCACTGGCACCTCAGCAGCCAACAGCGGCTCAAAGTGGACTTAATATTCATGATGCTTTTACTTATTTTCAGAGTGAAACTATTCAGACTTGTAATTTTTGAAACTTCTATTCTTGCTGACTTCCAAATAAATTAGTTTTTAATGCAATTGTGAAGTAATTTTTCTACACCAAAAAAACCCAATTTGTGGCTTATAAGCCAAGCAAGCAGACTTTTAAACATTGTTCTCCTGTAACTAGCTCTGAAAATTAAAGTTTGTTAGAAAGCATGGGAAGAGAAGTGAAAAAAAGGCATACTGTAGTTAGCAAGACTGAAGTAATGAACCTTGAGATTGTTTACAAGATTTGATACTTCCCTTTAGGTGTCAGTGTTGCAAAGAATTGGCTGTCCAGGTGACCATTTCTTCCTCTTCAACCACATCCTTCGGTGTCCCGCTGGGATCAGCGAATGGGCTGTTCCGTTCATTCAGGTGTGAATGTTTAATTCTTTATTGTCAGAGGGTTGGAGTTGGAATGCAGTGGGTAGGAGAGGAGGATGCTTTATGCCTTGTCAGTCTCTTATGACTGCTGTGTGTTTCCAGGTATGTGGAATCATGGTAACAGTGAGGGGTTTGTGGGATGTTTTCACATCTGTTAGTCCAGCCATGAGCAAATTAACAGGGAAACACACTCCTTGTTTCTAGCTGGAGAAACTTTGTGAAAGGGAGTCAAGGACTTGGGCGTGCCTCAGGAGGCCTCATGCAGCAGCAGGTTTTAGGAGTGTTCTCCAAGAAAATGTTATTTAGACTTGAAGCAGCAGCTGTATATGAGATGAGTGAGATTGGAGACAGCTCTGTGATAGGATGAGGAACAGGTTTTTATATCCTGCACACTGAAATGGGACTAGCTTCCCTGGAAGGTTTATTAGTTAGGTAATTTAAAGGGCAAGGGAAAGGGTTCACTTTGTACAGATCACAAGAAATGCAGATATCCAAAGGCACCAGGATGTTCTTGCGAAAAACATCTTTTTTTTCTCCTTTAAGAGGGGAAGATGTCAGAAATCTAGCTGTAGGAAAAGGACTGCAATTACACTAACAAGGGGAAGGCAAGCAATGAAATAAAAGGATAGACTACAATCGTAGAATCATTTAGGTTGGAAAAGACCCTTAAAATTGAGTCCAACTGTTAGTCTAACATGGAAAGTTCCTTACTTCCCCTGCACTCAACATCCCAATTCCCCCCAGTGCCCAGAAGTACACTTGAAACCAAGAGAGAAGTCTTTCTGTGGAGCTTTTGATGTTAGTTTTTTTCCTTCTTTAATTTCTTTTGGACATCTCCCAATATTTTGCCATAGTAATGCTTTCTCCAAAGTCTTTTATGGATACTTTTTAGTTTGAACGAAAAGCTAGTAAAAGATGTGAAACTCAGAATTTTAATTTTTCTGATAAAACTAATTTGCCCTTTGTTTTACTTATCTAGATTTACTTAGATTTTTGCATTTAATTTCAGATCAAAGTCTTGGATAACCCATCAGGTGTCTTTCATTTCATGCAATCTCTTGCCTTGCTTATGTCTCCTGTCAAGTAAGTATGAATATGATTTTTTTAAAAATATGTTCTGAATATTTAAGAGTTTAAAACATGACACAGGATCTACTTGTAAAACTCTGAAAGTTCTTTGGAGGGAAAGTCATAAAAGCAGGCACAAATAAGAGATTCACAGTTTAATTCAAACTCTTTTTACTCATTCATCTTCAAAATACAGCCTTGGCAGTACATTCTTGGCTGTGCATGGTGTGATGCAGCTTGCTTTCAGCTGTCAGATAGCTTGTGAAGACTGACATACCTGTGTGGTTTGTTACTGTGACTTCTGAAACAAAGCTTTTGCCTGCATGATGACCTGTCTCTGCAACAGAAATCCTCGAGTAAAGGATTTGTTAAGTTGCTGTATGTGCTGGTTGTACTCCTTTATTTTTTTAATCCTTTCTTTGTCTAGAAGGAATACATGGTGCTTGGAGAAGCTAGTTAATGAAATCAGTCATTAATGAAAATTGTTGTATGCTTCCCTTAAAATACATAACTTACCTCCCCTGCTGCACGAACTTTAAAGTGAAAGAATCAAACTGCTAATATTTAGGGTTGTCGTTGTGATCTTGATAGTCTGAGCCCGAGTTAAGTGGGAGTCCTGCTTATTTGAGGCTATTACTTTTACAGTGTTTGGTTTTTACATTTCCTATTTAGAACTGCCTGGGGAAACAAGTGTGTCCTGAGGGCATGTGTATTGCCAGTGGGTTTTGATGTTTGTGTTTTGAACAAGGACTAATTCAATGTGTCTGGAGTGGCACTCACAACTCTTGGTAGGAGAAGGCAGAGCCTCCATAATGGCTGTGTTTTCTGTTAAAAGAGCTGACACTTGTCTGTTGCAGCTGCTGCATGTCAGGAACGAGTTTGAATTCTGAGTTTTGGTGTGTGAAATCAGAGTCTTAAAACTTGTATTTAATTTGTAGTATGTTCATGTTATCAGAGCGTACATTCAAGGAGATCAGGAGGGTGATACTATGCTGGACTTCCATGGCACTGTGTAGAGTTCTTTCTAGTTAGAAGGAAGTTGGATGTTACGATTTCAACTTTTTATACAACTTTTCTGCACCTTTGTTGAACTTGCTGGTATATGCCTGAACGGCAAAGGGTTTATACAGTACGGAAACTGAAAACTGGTATCCCAAACCTAAGGTGGTCTAATATATGGAATTGGAGCTGGCCCGTTTTGAGGCAACTCTTTCCTGGGAGGTCCTTAGTTCTGGTAGCTCAGTGTACCTAAGACATTGATGTGGTGTCCAGCTCATGCATCTATGAAAGTTGTATTGTGGAACTGGCCTGCACTCATATTGGTCATTGACTCACCAGGTGGTAGCCTTAAATCCTTGTCGTAGAGTATTTCTGAAATACAACTCTTCTATTTTTTTTAAAGGACTTTTCTTACTCATGGAAAAAGAATTGTTGTTTCTTGCATATTTAAATGTGCTTGCTCTACAGGGCTGACAGCTGTTTATGTTGTTCAGAATATTTCTTGGAAGGTCACTTACTGAATACAACAGATTGGTGCAAGTCTTGTAGGGCATCAGGTTATGTGAAGTACTTGTTAATTTCTTGTTCTTGCATATGCTTTTGAACATTATCTTGTAACTCAGAGATGACTTGAATTCAGAATTACTAGTTTTCCAATTTTTGTAAACTTGATTTTTTTCACTTTAAATCAGAAATCGGGTGGACTTCATGTGCCATATGAAACCAAGTGAAAGGAAAAGTTCCTCTTCATCTGGAAAGGAATCTGGAAACTGGACCTTGGTAGATGAGGGAGGAGAAGAGGTAGAGCAAGTTACTTTTTTCTTTTTTCCACTTTGTGCTTTTGCTCAAGACTGTTGTATTGATTTTGTGAAATGGAGAAAGAAAAACTTACTGTTGCTCACTTAAAAAGCATCTTTTTCTGTTTAGATCTATTTTACTCTCCTTATTGCTGTGATGTAACTGTAGACAGTGGAGCTTTCAGGAATGAGTGTTAACAGATAGAAATTAAACTTTTTGGAGCTATTGCCTGCGAACCGAGCGTGGAAATAGACATATTTCTGAATAGGGGTTTCTCTTCAGAAGCTGTGTTTGACTAGCATAGCATTGCCTCTCATTCTGTTTCTTATCTAATAATGGCTTTTATGTAGAAACACACAGAAGAGGAATTTAGGAGGTTGTGTGTGAGAGAAAGAGTTTGTTTGTACTCACTTTGTTTTCCTCTTACAAGCAAACTAATTGGTACAATAGTAAAGCCCTTCTACCAAGTGTTTAATGGAAAGCTACTAAAAGGGACTGTTTGAATTTGTCTACAGGATGAGGATCCTGAAACAAGCTGGATTCTGCTTTTGGAAGATGACTTGATTTCCCTGTTGTCACAGTTTCCATTTCATGAACTCTTTCAGCAGTTCCTTGGGTTTAAGTCTGGAGGTAAATCAACTGCTAAAGAGTTACTCTTCATTTTGCTTATGCTAATTGTGCTATTAACTGAAACTGTCAAGAATGATACTGCGTTATGAGAGTCTCTGAGTGAAGTATAACCTGTGCAACAGCTTACAGACTAAATAGATAAGATGGAAGGGTGTGCTATGTGTATGGGATAACTTAAAAACTTAATACTAGCATGCAAAACACTAGTCCTTTCCCTTAGTTTTGATCTACTTGGTGTTTATACTCACAGGTGTGCTTTCAGAACTAATTTTCCCTC